GCCCTGGAGCCTAAATTTTTAAAACTTATCAGAGATTTAAACTACTACCATTTCTCCATCATAAGTGAGACACTCCTGGAAAACGCGATCTAAGAAGACATTGGTCATGGTTGCTGTTCCATAGCGGGACAGTTCTTCTTTACTGAGCATACCATTGTGATCCTTATCAAGATTCAAATACTGGCCTTGGGAAGAAAAATGATAAAAAGACATTTATGACCAAAATAAAATTCTAATTAGAGGACAAAAGAATAAACACAAAAAGTTCTTTTTATTGGTTAATACTTTGATTTTCTAACTATATTAGGGTAGTGCCCTAAGATCAGCTATCCCTGTACTCTCTATCACAACAGCCCTTAAGCTTTGCATAAAGCCATGGTGTTTGGGCTATTTCCATCATTATTTGTTTTCAGTTTGCAACCTTTTAGAACTTTCCTAGGTTTTAAAATTAGAGATGGGGTCAATAAAAAGCACTGAAATGCTGGCTCTTGAAAAGCAGAGAACAACGATGCCAAAATGAGTCAGAAGACCACCCAAGAGAATAATGAAGCAGACTAATGAAATTAAAGGAAAAAGCAAACAGTCCCTAGAACACTTGCCACTGTGGACGCTGATAGCAGTGGCATTTTATCACAATGCAAGATAATAATTGATGTCCATAATGATGCTCCTGAGTCAACAAGAAAGGATCAAATTACATTCTGTATGTTCTATTAAAGAGTAAGAAAACGACAAGTAAATTTTAGTAATCTAGAATACTAGCTCTTAAGGTAATTAGAATACTTTCATCCTAAGGTAAATTAGCCTATGTATAAAACTGTCCTTTGAACGTTAATTAACTGAGGAATGGATCATTCAAATTTTAGCATTATGACAGGAACCATACCATATACCCTTAGGGCAGAAGGTGCAGAAAACCAGTTAGTTTCTTGACTCTCCTTGGACAGTTCCTCATCCCTTAACTAAATAAAAACAGAGATATAATTAGAAGACAGTAACTGTCAAGTGACATAATTAAGTATTTAAAAAACATATTTACCTCCAATAAATCATCTAGGAAGCTGCATGCTAAAATATCTTGAATTTTAATCTTCCCTTTAAAGAACAAACACAATTTCATTTTTAAGAAAAGAGAAACTCAATTTTATAAAGATACTATTTTAGAAGAGTAATCACACAATTGGTATTTTAAAGCTTCATATCTTTCATCAAGAACAACTCCCCAGTATATTCCATATCAGGGATAGCAAATCATATCAGAATAACTGGCTTCTTAGGACCAGAAGGAGCCATTCGTTATCCAGCTCAGACACCACTTTAGAGATGAAGAAACTAAGAGGTTAGGTGACATGTCCACTGTCACACAGCTGGTTCTAGTTGGTACGAATAAATCATAAAAGATCTTTATATATTAAAGGCAATGGCATAGTAGAAAAATGACATTTTCAAGACTTTAGTTATTGAGATTTAGAATTATATCCTTATAATATCTAAGATTTTCTTTTACCTGTTCTTAGAGGGTCTAAAAAGAAGAAGAACTTCCTAACTGCTGTACAAACATAGAAGGAGTAAAAAGACTTTTCCAGCCCATCTAATTGTGGCAAAGTAGGGATAAGTTCCAATATGTAGTTTTCTAAATCCTGAAAGAACAAAACAAATCAAAATATTAAAGTGTTAACTGTCTTGATCTTGCTTCTTCGTTAGATACTGGAATGTTGAATTTCAGTCCTAAAAATTATTCAGCATTAATAGTATATTAATGATAAAATAAAATCATAACTATGTTAGTGGTAAAACTTACATTGTTTTGCTTTTTATTTCATTTTTAACATTTGTGAATAAGCAATATATTCTACATAATTCCAAATTCAAAAGGAACCAAAAAGGGGGTGCCTGGGTGACTCAGGTGGTGATCTCAGGGTCCTGGGATTGAGCCTCGTGTTGGGCTCCCTGCTCAGCGAGGAGCCTGCTTCTCCCTCTGCCCCTCCCCCTGCTTGTGCTCCCTCATGCTCACGCTCTCTCTCAAATAAATAAAATCTTTTTATTTTTTAATTTTTTTTAAAGATTTTATTTATTTGAGAGAGACAGAGATAGCAAGAAAGAGCACAAGTGGGGAGGAGAAAACTTCCCACCTACCCCCTCCATTTTATACTCCCACCAGCAATGTGAAGGCTAAACCAACAGCTCCCAAATTGTGCCCCCAGAATGCTTCAGTAAACTCACAGGGGTGCAGCAGGATATTAAAAAAATTTCAGGAAGACGGTGACATCTGCCATAGAGTACACAACAGATGTGGCTATGAGCTAGAGCTATGAGCTCAAGGTAGTTCACATTTTCAACATTGACGGAGATACATGCTTTTTGATGACATCAGTCTTTGCAAAGCTAGGTTCTTGATGGTTGCTGTGATGAAGCAAGTACCACCCGAAAGTTAGTGTGGAACAGGAAGTGAGGATGACTGTCCAATCTAACTGCCAGTTTTGACTGGCCATACAGTGTGCCCCATGGGCACAGATTCCATTAGTATTTGTAATTTAAGAATGAAGCAAAAATATTACTTACTTTCAACTTATGTGTATTTTTTTCAAATGGCTAATATAATAATAATCTTAGTGAATACTTTCATAAATTGTTTAGAACTAACTAATAAATGGAACTGGTAGGTATTTGACTTAGAGGCACTATGCAAAAATTACTGAGATACTAAGGGCACTGTGAATTGAGAGTTTGGGAAATCATGACCTATTTTATATTCCCTTATTAAAAACATTATCAAACTTAATGATCTTTGTCAGCCTGAAAAATTTCTGGCCCTAACATTTATAACACTCATGAATAACCAAAAGTTTTCCTGTTTCTTTTTTTTTATTTATTTTTATTTTTTTATTTTTTTTAAAGATTTTATTAATTTATTTGACAGAGGGTGGGGGGAGAGCACAAGCAGGGGGAGCAGCAGGCAGAGGGAGAGGGAGAAGCAGACTCCCTATGGAGCAGGAAGCCCGACACGGAACCTGATCCTAGGATCCTGGGATCATGTGACCTGAGCCGAAGGCAGATGCCTAAGTGATTGAGCCACCCAGGTGCCCCACTCTCCCTCATCTTAAAAGAGAAAGAAACAGGCTCAGAGTTTAATCTAATCCAAACTACATAGCTGATTAGTGGCAAAACTAATGCAGTATTCTTTGAATACGTGTTGAGTATCTTAAACTTTTCTATTGTCTTCTAATTGGTGGTAATGTAAGGTCTTGCTTTAAGTGCAAACTCAGCTCCAACTAAAAACATAAGTGCTTCCAAAGCCAAGATAATGACAAAGCTTCATTTCCAATATAGATGTCAACCTTTTATACTCTGGATCTAAGATGGGTGGTGGGTGGGGGAGGTTCAGTTTTAAAGAATTAGTCATCCAGAATGACAATGAAATTGTGCTAAAATTTACTAGAATAGATGGAAATACTTCTATATTATGAGGTATACTGTATGAGTATTTACAAGGAATTAGATACATGTTTTCTAATCTTTTTGTAGTAAAATTACTCAGAGGATCCAGTGGCATTTAAGGAGGCAAATTACATTTTAAAAAGATCAGAACAATTCCGGGTGCCTGAGTGGCTCAATTGGTTGGGCATCCGACTTGATTTCAGCTCAGGTCATGATCTCAGGGTTGTGAGCTCGAGCTCCGTGCTTGGTGCAGTCTGCTTGTCCCTCTCCTTCCCCCTGCTTGTGTACACATGCTCTCTCTCTCTCCATAAATAAATAAAATCTTTAAGGGTGCCTGGGTGGCTCAGTTGGTTAAGTGTCTGCCTTCAGCTCAGGTCATGATCCCTGGGTCCTGGGATCGAGTCCCGCATCGGGCTCCCTGCTCCACAGGGAGTCTGCTTTTCCCTCTGCCCCTCCTCCCACTCGTTCTCTCAATCTCTCTCTCTCAAATAATAAATGAAATCTTTAAAAAAAAATTCAGGTAAATGAAATGTACGAGCTTTTAGTCTTGTATGTTTATGAAACTTCCTTTTCTAGGTTAGTGGCAACTTAAAATTACTAGTTCTTAGGTTGCCTGTTGAATAGTTTCAGATTTGTCTCATTTATATTAAACGAAATTGGCCTTTATCTTACACTTAATTAAAATTGGATGGGTTCTTCCATTACGTTACTTAACCTGAACCTGAATCTGTACTAGGTACTATAGGTTTTTCACAGCTGGTGACTGCAAAAATGAAGCATTAGCATGTGTTTCAGATAGTGGTAGTTTTCATATTGTAGGACTGATGGCTCCTTAATAATACAAAAGCAAGTAAGACCTTTGAAGGAGCAGATTTAAAAAGTGCCCAAACCTAAATATAGTTGACCCTTGAACACAGGTCTGAAATGCATGAGTCCACTTAGACATGGATATTTTTGATAAATACAGTATACTGTAAATGCATTTCCTTTTCTGATGACTTTCTCAGTCACATTTTTTCTCTAGCTCCATTTTTAAGAATATAGTATGTAAAACATATACAAAATATGTGTTAGCTATGTTACTGTTTATGTGAGGCTTCCAGTCAACAGTAGGCTATGAGTAGTTAAGTTTTGGGGGGAGTCAAAAGTTCTACATGGATTTTCAGTTGCATGGGGGAGGGGCATTGCCCCTAACTCCTGTGTTGTTCAAGGGTCAACTGTAGTTACCAAGATTAAAAATTCATTTTACACTGGAATGGCTGCCAAAGGATTGCAGGCTATATTGATTCTCTTCATTTTCAATCAAAATTAATGCTTCCAATGAAAATACAATCTGACAATGCTAAAATCATAAACTACACAAATTATTAGTCCAAGTGTGGTCTCAATTGGTTCAGAATAAATAATAGCAAATACTTGATTCGGTTCAGTACTTCATAGTCATGTTTCTTTCATACAAAATTTCACTTAATACAGATGATTATCTGGTATTATGTATATTATTTTTTTAAAGATTTATCTTAAGAGTGTGTGTGCATGAGCAGGGGAAGGGGCAGAGGGAGGGAGGGAGGGGAAGCCAACTCCGCACAGAGCCCGACGTGGGCTCGATCGCAGGACCCTGAGATCATGACCTGAGCCAAAACCAAGTGTCAGACTCTTAACCAACTGAGCCACCCAGGCGTCCCAACTGGTATCATGTATATTAAAAGAAAAGGTAAGGGGTGCCTAGCTGGCTGAGCTGGTAGAGCATGTGGCTCCTGATCTCAGGGTCACAAGAGTTCAAAAGCCCCACATTGGGCATAGAGCTTACTTAAAGGAAAGAAAAGAAAAGGTAACCTTGACATCTTGAAATGAAACAGGATCTTGTCCATGGATTTTCATTAGTTCCTGTATGGCCTGTAGGGGTAGGAATAAGTCTGTAAATAAAAAATATACCACAGCCCCCCTTCCTGTCCCATGGCCCCTTTCTAGTCCCATGGTCTTTCCTATCAGACCACAAGCTTTATCATTTCAACCACTCTTGCCAATATTCTCAACTTCTTGACCTTGCTTCACATCCAGTCAGCAAAACTTAATGATCGGTGTAACCATCAACCCTTCTAGATGTATATCTTGCTATTGAGAATTCCAGAAAAAAGTATACAAGGCCACAGATTATTGCTACTATACAGGAAGGGTCTCCAACCTCAGATGGGCCTTTACATGACCTAGCAATTATTGTTATGCCTGATCCTTGCATTTTCCAGGAATGCTGTTCATACCTTCACCATTCTTTAAGACACCCAATCTGCCGCCTCTGCCTCCCCGCATACTTTGCCTTGTACTTGACAGAAAAGAAAAAAATGGAGGTAAGCCTCCCTCAAATTCTCTTTTATAAACTTTAACAAAAAAATAAAACAAAAAAAAACACTAACGGAAGAAACTACTGTGATCCAGTTGGACTAATAAGTATTGTAGGCGAGAGTCATTCACTAGAAAATGTGAAGCTTAAAATTCTTGGTAAATAGTCAAATAAGTATGTTGCAGGTGCCTACTGTGTATGTGGTGCCACTGATGTCCGTGTGTGCATAGGTAATCTCTTTGAAGTAAGTGAGAATCGGAGTACCCACACAGCCACTAGAGTAGTAGACCTGGAGATACAATCTAGAGTGCACCATCTAGGCCGACCTTTATCACTGGGATACTGATGTACAAAGACTCTACGAACAGCTTAGGATTGCAGGACTCCGCGCCAGTAAGTATTTACCTTAACCCATATAACCAAGCCTAAATACTTTGATAAAATGCATGTATAAAATATTTTAAAAACAAAATTAAATATTCTAAGAGAAGGTACTGTAAAGAAGTCTTTATAAAAAAGGGTTGTGTGTTTAATTTCCAAAAATATTTAGTTTGTTTTCCTAAAACTGAATTTTCATTTAATAGGTCTGCCTAAAGTGGGGCATCCCTATGATGGGTTGGTATCATATTCTCAGATTAGCCACGGATTCAATTTTTAAAAAATGTATCCTAATACTGCGATTGTAATTTATCCTAATATTTGTAGTCATTACTACCTAGGAAATCATTATGGAAGTTTTAGGGAATTTAACACTGAAACTATAAATTTTACATACTATGAAACTCAGAAACCAAATAGTTATTTTTGAAGTATCACAGAATTTTAAATGGAAAAGGAAAAGCCTCTGGGGAAAAATGTTTTATGACAAAGATGTGAAAATTTCATTTTTATTTATAAAAAGCCATTTCTTCTTACTGTTGTCTTAACCATATAAAAATCACACAGTCTTCTAAAAACTAGCTATAGAAATAAAGTAACAGAAGTACTACTGTACACAACTATTCCACCAGATAGAAAAGTCACCATTCAAATTTAGGAATGATTTGTCTTAAAAAGGGCAGACATTCCTATTTTTACACCTTGTGCATCTGAATGCTTATCAGATAAGGTACAATCAAATTTCCCTTCTCAGAACTCATCATGTTATTCTCTGAGACCACTAAACGGCACAAAATAAGCATTTCAGCAAATCTATTTTCATGCTGAAATGCAGCATACAATAATTTTAAAATTATTAAAATAATTTTTATTTTTTACAGCACAGCATTTAAAAGAATCTACTACTACCAAAGTCTGCAAAACTTCTACCTTTTCTGAACTGTTTAACTGAAGCTTCTGAAGGATTTTACACACTAGTTTATGATCACCAAAGCACAGAATTTCTCATGTATGTCTGTATCTCCATTGGCCAGTATAGCCCCTGACACATATTTATACACTTTGATGTCCTACAACTAATCAAATCAGCTTTGATTTAGTCTATATTTTTTAAAAATAGAAAAAAACAAAACTAAAAGGAGACTTGATTTCTTCTAAAATCTGTTAGCAAATTGGGGTGTCTGGGTGGCTCAGTCGGTTAATTAAATGTCCGACTCTTGATTTCAGCTCAGGTTTCAATCTCAGGGTTGTGAGTTCAAGCCCCATGTTGGGCTCCATGTTAGGCATGGAGCTACTTAAAAAAATATTAATAATAAAATCTGTTAGTAAACCTTTTTGTTATATTTAAACATCACAAATTAGATAAAATTGTTACCAAGTAGGTAATTTAAATCAAATAGTGTATCTTAAGGAACAATGACTCATTTACACAAATGAGACTTACCCTAAAGAAGTAATTAAGTGAAAAGACATTCAGATATCCTTTGTTCTCAATATCAAGTAATTTGAAAATATACTGCAGAGCTGCAGGTTCTTTTCGATTTTCTAACGCAAGAACAAAGTCCAGGTAGGTCTTATAGTCCTATAGAGAAGAAAATGACATTCATTAGAAGCCTTGTTTGGAATTAACTTTTCAAGTGAATATCTAATGATTTGAAGCTATTTTACAATCAAAGATGGCAATTTTTTTAATTTAAATTCAATTAGCCAACATAAATTTTTTTAAGATTTTATTTATTTGAGAGACAGAGTGAGAGAGAGAGATCATGAGCAGGGGGAGGGACAGAGGAAGAAGCAGGCTCCCCGCTGAGCAGGGAACCCAATGCGGGTCTCGATCCCAGCACTCTGGGATCATGACCCGAACTGAAGGCAGATGCTTAACCAACTAAGCCACCCAGGCGCCCCTCAATTAGCCAACATATAGTACACATCATTAGTTTCAGATGTAGTGTTCAATGATTCATCAGTTGCATATAACACTCAGTGCCCATCACATCACATGCCCTCCTTAATGCCTATCACCCAGTTACCCAATCCCCCCACCCACCTCCCCTTCTGCAACTCTCCGTTTGTTTCCCAGAGTCAAGAGTCTCTCATAAAAATGGCAATTTTTTAATATGAAATAAGATATCCATTTGTATACTTAATATTGGTTTCTAGAAATTCTACATAGCAGTTTCTGTACGGGACAGTTTTGGGGACAGATCATTTTCTTATGAGAGAGTTGCTGTCTTAAGGAGTAATCTTTTATTATGCCTCTGAAGTGGACAGGACAGTGACTAAGCTATTGTACAATGCTGCTAAATTAGTATCTTCATTTCAGTGTGGTCAGTTTGGAAAAAAAAAAGGTTTATCTGGAATGAATAGATCAGTATATTTGAATAGTATATTTAAATAGTTACTTTGAAATATTTAAACATTTTAAAATCAGATGATTTCCAATAAGAAGCCATCTTAAGAACACCCGATATTATACAGTGAACTGAAACTGTTCTCATCCAAAAAAAAAGGCAAAAAAGCACAGATAAAAGCTAGAAAGACATGAAGAAAACAAGGCTTTCTCTACAAAAAAGGGATACTCATTACTTTTTTTGCATGGTAAAAACACATTGGAGATTCCACTTAGAAAAAAATTTATATTCTTGGAAAGCTGCTTTAGGCTAAGATTAAGAATTCTTTTTTTTTTAAAGATTTTATTTACTTATTTGACAGAGACACAGCGAAAGAGGGAACACAAGCAGGGGGAGTGGGAGAGGGAGAAGCAGGCTTCCCGCAGAGCAGGGAGCCCGATGCGGGGCTCGATCCCAGGACCCTGGGATCGTGACCTAAGCCGAAGGTAGACACTTAACGACTGAGCCACCCAGGCGCCCCTAAGAATTCTTTTTTGTATAAATTGCAGTATAAAGAGCTAAAGAGATGCAGCCTCGTCATGGTCTAACTCCATCCATAGTTGTAGCCTGTTTTCTCTAGAAGTCATTAGTATACTACAAGCTCCTCACTGTTGACTGTAGACAGCTGTAGAAGTCACAAAGCACAGTTTCTCCACCTTTTCCCCCCCTTTCCTATACTGCTGGCTAAAAATGGTGTTATTTAGAAAACTGCTATTCAAGCTAAGTGATAAAACCTAAAACCCCAATTCTCTTCTGACAATATGACCACTTCTTAAGCGTCATTGGTTTGGTAATTTATCACATCCTTAACACATGTTTTTAATAGCAAGGATAGTGATTTTTAAAATGCTAGACAGAATTTCCTTAAGTATTTTGCATTGTTGTGATAAAAGGACAGGTGCATGTTAATCATTAGCTACTAATATAGCCACTTACAGAAAGTAATACAACCTGATTCTTGGATTTAAATCACGGCATTTGTGGTACACTATCTGATCTGGAAATTTAATGAATGAACCATCTATATGGAAACAGTCAATAGGATTTGCCAATTTTCCAGGATTTTTTACCCCCCACTAATCCATACTCCTTAGGGGAGGTGGGCAGGAGAGATGGGCTAAATGGGTGATGGGTATTAAGGAGGGCACTTGTTGGGATGAGCACCGGGTACTGTAGAAAGTGATGAATCACTAAATTCTTAGTGTTAACTAACTGGAATTTAAATAGAACTTGAAACATTAAAAAGATACATGATAATGAACAAAATATTAAAATTTTGTATTTGTCCGGAGTCCATAATATTTTTTAATAGATTTTTTATTTTAAGATTTTTTAAATTTATTTTTTGACAGAGCGAGCGAGAGAGGGAACACAAGTAGGGGGAGTGGGGAGAGGGAGAAAGAAGCAGGCTTCCCGCGGAGCAGGGAGCCCAATGCGGGGCTCGATCCCAGTGCCCTGGGATCACAACCTGAGCCGAAGGCAGACGCTTAAGGACTGAGCCATCCAGGCGCCCCTATTTTTTTTTTTAAAGATTTATTTATTTATTTATTTGACAGAGACAGACACAGCGAGAGAGGGAACACAAGCAGGGGGAGTGGGAGAGGGAGAAGCAGGCTCCCCGCCGAGCAGGGGCTCAATCC